TGGTTCGTCCGCTTACAGCTTTCTATCCACACGATCACTTAACAATTCCAACTTAATCTAAACACATGAAAATCGAAATACTTAGACTATACCCTTGCATGCAGCCAAAACTTGGTTTTGCATGAAACCTAAGAACGAACAGCTAAGGGAAGAAACTTACCAGCTTCAGATTCTGAAACTGTTCGGTCCAAATTGAAGCTCACGACTCAGGGAACGATCCTACGATTTCTGAATGTTGATCGGAGAAAAGAGTAGTGAGTTGGAGTAGAGAGAAGATGGAAGCTTTCTAGAGAGAAGGATGAGAAAATGAAAGGTCAGGTTTCATGAGGAAGAAGGGTGCGTGCAGAGAGTGGGAAGAAGTGTTTCAGAAAAATCATTTTTCTTTCCCAGGCAAAACGAACACGCACTCTCATAAAGACACCTGTCTTCCACTACTGATTTTCGAACGTTCCATTCTTGACACCTGGCGTCAGTGTGCAGAGTTTGGGAGTGCGTTTTAAATGGTCTGAGCAGGGTTTTAGTGCATTAATTTTGATTTGACAGGTGAGTTATGATGTTCATTTTCCAAGGTCTTACACATAATAATATAATTTAAAATTTAAAGTAATCATATATAAATGTTAAACTATAGAAATAAAGTATTTACACTATCAATGAAACAAAAATTTCATTTTTGTTATGTATTCCTAACTTCTAATTTTATTGGTAATATATTTCTAACATCTCATAAGATCATTTTCTCCAAATACCCACAACATGAATTAAAATTTTAATATAATGTAAGTAATAATGAAAATTTGGGAGATGCATTCCACACATGTAAGACTCAATATCCCATTATTTTTCACACTAGCTTTTCAATTTATGAATTCCCTCCCCCATTTAATTAGTTACTCTTAATTTTTCATGTTTAAGTTAAGTAATTATTTGGAACATCTATTTAAAGCCTAATCACCCTTTCATAGTTTAGTGACTTATAATTTCACTTAAAATTTTTAAATGAATCATCCATCTTACTCCTTCATACACTAGAATGTCTTGCAACTTTTATGTCATTAATTAGTTATTATTTATGGATTTTGACACAAAACAAAAATTATACTTTGATATAAATACATTTTTTATACTCATTTAACGTTATACTTTTTTTTTCTTTTTTTTCTAGAAATACAAAAAATTTATTCTTTTCCTATTAAATGAATATAGATCTATCTCATCCTAATAATTTAAGTGAAAGTGAGGTGAAGTTAACGTAAAAAACAGATTACTTCAGCACAGAAAAAATAATTAATATCCTTTTCACGCAACTTGGTCAGCAATTGTGACCAATGCGTCTTTCGAAACCTAAGCACAACTCTATAAATACAACAGAAAATGGTTCCTACCATAACAAACCAATCTCTTGCAGACACAATCTAGTCAGAACAACATAAGCAAGATTTTGGTGTGAGATAATGTCAAATAACACATACCAAACATGGACACAAGCAGGGTCATTCATGGCCTCCGTCATGTTCATATACGCCATGTTCATGCGCTTGGTTCCTCCAACTCTTCAAGCCCGTGTTAGACGCTACACCAACAAATTAACCACCTTCGTCTACCCTTACATCAGAATCACCTTCCACGAATTCACCGGCGAACGCCTCATCAAAAGTGAGGCCTACACTGCCATCCAAACCTACCTCAGCGAACACTCTTCCCAAAACGCCACAAGGCTCAGAGGAGAAGTCATCAAAGTCAAAGACACACACAGCCCTGTTGTCCTTAGCATGGATGACAACGAAGAGATCGTACAAGAGTTCCAAGGGGTGAAGCTCTGGTGGGGTTCCTACAAAATCACCCCCAAAAATTACTCCTTTTCGGTCTATCGTTCTTCGGAGGAAAAAAGGTTCTACAAACTCACCTTTCACAAACGCCACAGAACCCTCATCACTCAGACTTACCTCAAACATGTTTTGGAAGAAGCAAAGGCCATCGAGACCAAGAACAGAAAGCTGAAGCTTTACACCAACAGCTCCACAAGGTGGAGCCATGTGGCTTTTGAGCATCCGGCGACTTTTGAGACTCTTGCAATGAGTTCGAAGGAGAAAGAGGGTATCATGAATGACCTTGTGAAGTTCAAGAGTGGGAAGAGTTATTATGCCAAGATTGGGAAGGCGTGGAAAAGAGGGTACTTGCTGTATGGTCCTCCTGGTACGGGGAAATCTACCATGATAGCTGCAATGGCTAATTTCATGAACTATGATGTGTATGATCTTGAGTTGACGGCGGTGAAGGATAATTCGGATTTGAGGAAGCTGTTGATTAACACTTCAAGCAAGTCAATTATAGTGATTGAAGACATTGATTGCTCTCTTGATCTCACTGGTCAGAGGAAGAGGAAGAAGGAAAAAGTTGAGGGTAGGGAGGGGAAAAGTTCTTCTTCCAAAAGGGGTGATGATGAAGATGATGAAGAGAGAGGAAGTAAGGTAACACTTTCTGGACTGTTGAATGTTATAGATGGGATTTGGTCAGCTTGTGGAGGGGAGAGGATCATGGTTTTCACGACTAACTTTGTGGAGAAACTTGATGCTGCTTTGATCAGAAGAGGGAGAATGGATAAGCACATAGAACTGTCATATTGTTGCTATGAGGCGTTCAAGGTTCTTGCCAAGAACTACTTGGATGTTGAGTCTCACCATTTGTTTCCTAGAATTGGGAAGCTGTTGGAAGAGGCAAAGATCACCCCTGCTGATGTTGCTGAGAATCTGATGCCAAAATCAGTTGATGAAGAAGTGGACGCTTGCCTGCATAGCTTGATTCAGTTTCTTGAGATCACAGAAAGGAAGCAAGTCAATGCACAAGAGAGTAAAGATATTAAACATGGTGAAGCTGTAGTGGAAGAAAATGGTGTCATCGATTAGTTGCTTTCTTTTTCTCTATCATTGAGCTTGTTTACTTGGAACAATAGTATGTGAGGCTTTGTTACCAAAGTAGGCAAAAATGTGGTATTTATTACCAAAGTAGGCAAAAATTGACTAAAAGTGAAGTCGTGGGGGGTCCAACAACTTCAAATGAAGAAGTCGTTTTTGGGGTGCACGACTTCAACACTGTTGCTATGAACAGTGTGAAGTCGTGCAGGAGGGGCACGACTTCTTCATTTGAAGTCGTTTGGGCCCCTCACGACTTCCCCATTTTCGTAAATTTGGTTGAATTTGCCCATTTTGGTAATATTATAGGTAAATATGCCTAGTTTGGTGCAAAAACCAGTATGTGACGTATATCTGTATTTGAACTTTGACTTCAACGTTGTATGCAGAATTTGAGTATATGTAATTGTCCTATGTTTCAACATCTTGTTCGACAGAAAATTAAGGTTCACGTTGCTCAAACGTTTTAGTAGATTTGTTTCACATCTTATGATTTCCTATTCACAATGTTAAAAGGTTTTTTTTTTCCATGAGGTTGGTCGAAAATCACTATTAACACTTCTTAACCTTTTCTTCCACCTCTTTAAAGTCATTATCCTTCATTCTCCATTATCAAAGTCATTCTCAAGGATTAATTCAGTTATATATTTCGATCACTATCATAACAAAATCTTAAATTCACAATAAACACAATCATTTACCTTCTTATTTTATTTTTGTATTTATAGATTTTAAAATAAACTTTTAATTAGAGTTGAGCTAATCACGATTTAAAAAACACAAAAATCAATATGTAAAAATGTTCAATTTACTATGTTAATGTTCAATAGAAACGTGATTGATCAATTTATGGATGGATTAGATACGACTTTTCAATATTTTCTGGAAACATTAACTGTCCGATAATAACGAGTCGATCATATAGTAAAGTTTTGTTCCAAAAGATTTGGTTGAAAATCTAAACTTGAGTTAAGTTTTAGATTATGATAAAATTGAGCATATTATAAGATAAAAAAAACTTACAAATCTATTATTATGCTAAGGTTTTGAGTAAAAGATAATACTAATTTTTTATATAGATAAGATTTAAGTTTTACGAGTGTTATATCTTCTTTAAAAATTACTTGTGTTTTTTATTTGTTCTTCTATGATTTGAACAGTTTGATTCCATGTTTTACATTTGAAAATCATCATTACGAATGTAGGTGTGCACTTGAAGCCAAAGATAGAGAATCATAAGTTCAATTATTGAAAATATAATAATGTTAAATTGCTTGTTAAATATACTGTTAAGATAACTTCTGCCATTATAAATTTAGTTCAAATAAATAAAACAGAAAAATAACTTATAAATCTACTTTTGTTAGAAAAAACAGAGGGATCTGACAGAATCATGGGTCAGTTGTGAAATTCTTTTTTCGTTAATTTAAGTCAGATTAATTCCATACGTTCAGCAATTTTCTTGAAAAACAATGACTTCTTGATGTTATTCATATTCAGAAATAAAAAATATCTAAAGAACTGCATAATTTATCATTCTGTGACACAGAACTAGTTAACACTTTTCTGTCGTTTAATCATTTTTTAATCAGAAACATTTTGTGAGAGAAAATGACATTTTTGTTCTTCATATCAAATTTCATTACAGAATACACAAGTAATAAAAGGTTTAATGAGTAATTTTGATGTATTATTTCAAAGAATAGAGTACCATATATATATATATATACATTCAAAGATTCTACAATTCTTCACCTTATTAAAGGAATGATAACTGCATAAATTATAATAATATCTAAATTATAACTAACACAATATTTGATTGCCTAATATCCTTTAATAGAATATTTGACATATCTACCCCCACTCAAGTTGGTGCATGGATATCACACATTCCCAACTTGAATAGAGACTCATTAAACAATCTTCTTGACACTCCTTTGGTGAGAATATCAGCCACCTGCAATTCTGATCTTACAAAAGGAAATAAAATTATTTCAGCTTCAAGCTTCTCTTTGATGAAATGTCTATCAATCTCCACATGCTTTGTTCTATCATGTTGCACAGGATTGCAAGCAATTGCTATAGCCGAAGTACTGTCACAGTACAAACTCATAG